TTTCCAACCTGTATTTACTAGAGTTAATATTTAGGTTTTTGGTAGATTTTTTTTCTATATATAATTTTCATTTCTCTATCTGCACCTTTTTCCCTTCCAGATTTGTTTTCTTCTCTGTTCATTTTGTCTTCCCAACAAGCGAAATCCACAGTAGGTTTGCTAAGTTGAGGCCCTCAGCAGAGGTTTTTTTTCTTGGTGACGTTATCTTCTGATTGCCTGTAACCAGGCGTCTGCAACTCCAGTCCTCATAAACCACTGTCCAGAAATTTCTGGATTCGTCCCTGCCCCAACACACCTAAATTAAATTAATGGTTGATGACCAGACTTTTGGAAAAACTTGCTGCCCAATCACTTGATGCAGGTGTGGTGGAGCAAGCCTGTACCTAAAGGTTGCAGTGCAGAGGCATTTGAGGACAGAAGTTGCAGATCTCTTCCTGCAAGCTTTTCAAGCTGGACTCAGACTTGCAGACTGTTGACCTACATTGACGGCGCTCTTAGCCTTTGTATCCTAGCATATAAGTTCATTGAGTAAGTTCCTTTAAGTCGATGTTATGTTGGTAATTATTTTCCGGGTTTCGTTGCAGATCACTCAAAGATTCTTGGGGAAACTCTCCTTCCCATTTAGCCTGATATACAGTTAGGGCCAGAAATATTTGGACAGCAACACAATATTTGTGAGTTGGGCTCTGCATGCCACCGCATTGGATTTGAAATGAAACCTCTACAACAGAATTCAAGTGCAGATTGTAACGTTTAATTTAAAGGGTTGAACAAAAATATCTGATAGAAAATGTAGGAATTGTACACATTTGTTTACAAACACTCCACATTTTAGGAGCTCAAAAGTAATTGGACATATAAACATAACCCAAACAAAAAAGTTTTTTCTCAATATTTTGTTGCGAATCCTTTGGAGGCAATCACTGCCTTAAGTCTGGAACCCATGGACATCACCAAACGCTGGGTTTCCTCCTTCTTAATGCTTTCCCAGGCCTTTACAGCCGCAGCCTTCAGGTCTTGCTTGTTAGTGGGTCTTTCCGTCCGAAGTCTGGATTTGAGCAAGTGAAATGCATGCTCAATTGGGTTAAGATCTGGTGATTGACTTGGCCATTGCAGAATATTCCACCTTTTTGCTCTCATGAACTCCTGGGTAGCTTTGGCTGTATGCTTGGGGTCATTATCCATCTGTACTGTGAAGCGCCGTCGGATCAACTTTGCAGCATTTGGCTGAATCTGGGCTGACAGTTATCCCGGTACACTTCAGAATTCATCCGGCTACTCTTGTCTGCTGTTATGTCATCAATAAACACAAGTGACCCAGTGCATTGAAAGCCATGCATGCCCATGCCATCACGTTGCCTCCACCATGTTTTACAGAGGATGTGGTGTGCCTTGGATCATGTGCCGTTCCCTTTCTTCTCCAAACTTTTTTCTTCCCATCATTCTGGTACAGGTTGATCTTTGTCTCATCTGTCCATAGAATACTTTTCCAGAACTGGGCTGGCTTCTTGAGGTGTTTTGTGGGCAAATTTAACTCTGGCCTGTCTATTTTTGGAATTGATGAATGGTTTGCATCTACATGTGAACCCTTTGTATTTGCTTTCATGGAGTCTTCTCTTTACTGTTGACTTAGAGACAGATACACCTACTTCCCTGAGAGTGTTCTGGACCTCAGTTGATGTTGTGAACGGGTTCTTCTTCACCAAAGAAAGTATGCGGCGATCATCCACCACTGTTGTCTTCTGTGGACGCCCAGGCCTTTTTGAGTTCCCAAGCTCACCAGTCAATTCCTTTTCCTCAGAATGTACCAGACTGTTGATTTTGCTACTCCAAGCATGTCTGCTATCTCTCTGATGGATTTTTTCTTTTTTTCAGCCTCAGGATATTCTGCTTCACGTCAATTGAGAGCTCCTTTGACCGCATGTTGTCTGGTCACAGCAACAGCTTCCAAATGCAAAACCACACACCTGGAAACAACCCCAGACCTTTTAACTACTTACTTGATTACAGGTTAACGAGGGAAAGGCCTTTTGAGTTACTTGCAGCCTTTGGAGTCCATTGTCCAATTACTTTTGGTCCCTTGAAAAAGAGGAGGCTCTGCATTACAGAGCTATGATTCCTAAATCCTTTCTCCGATTTGGATGTGGAAACTCTCATATTGCAGCTGGGAGTGTGCACTTTCAGCCCATATTATATATAAATTGTATTTCTGAACATATTTTTGTCAACAGCTAAAATAACAAAACCTGTGTCACTGTCCAAATATTTCTGGCCCTAACTGTAAACCAGCCCCTTGTTCTTCACTAGTTGCTTTCCACAGAGGGTCTAGATGCTTTGCTATTGAGAAATGATTGCTTGGACTCTGTTGAAGTTTCAAATTTGACCTGGTCAATAACCAGGCTGGCTTGACTTGTGTCAGTTGAGCGGTATGAAGTTTAACGGGAACTGCCTGTGCTATGAATAATCATCCTCTACAGTAAAGACAGAAGTGAATGAACAAGATGGCTGTTAATAAAATTTTTGGCCAACGTGGATTGAACGTCTTTGTTCAATTACAATTCTAAATCGGCGCAAAAAATCAGAGTTACAACAACATTGCAACATTACAATCCTTCTGTTTGGTGAACAGAAGGATTAGAAATGGGAGAAGGCCCAGACTGGATGTGAAGCGAGATTTTAATTGAGTGGAATTGCACAGGAAGGTGATGTATACTTCCCGGTTGATTCCTTCAAGATCTTCTGTCTCTTCAATTGCAACCTATAGATTCAGCAACATAAATCTGCGGACTGGAGCTTTTGTTTTTCTGGTAAAAGAGAGCATTCTCACTTGCCTCTCAGACGCTCCACCAAATACCTTCTCCACAGTAATAATCACTGAGTCTTCTCTTCCCTCCACAGCAAGATCTCCAGCCGTTGCTTGAAGAGAGTTACTGCACAACTAGACTATGTTCTGTCATATCCTTGTCTCAGAGTCTTGTTTCAGCATTTGGCTCTGGTTACTGGCTCCACATTATGACAACCAGATGTTATTCCAGAGAGCTGGCAGAAACCTAAGTCATTTGAGAGAATATGCTAAATAAGTATCTTTACAAATCTGAATGACTGAGAGGTCTTCAGGAGCTTTTGGGTTATCTGAAAAGATGGAAAAAGAGAAATGTACCACCTGCCTCAGTGCAGAAAGATGCAACTTCGTCTAATAAGGAACTAATCATAATGAACCACAGTGCATGGCAAAGTTTTGGTGTGCAACCTTTCAAGCACTTTCAGTTTAAATTGTCTGCTTAAAAACATGCATTTTTCAGATATCACCACTTTTTTGTTTGATTTTTACTAAGACAGCGCCGTCCTGTCCTCACATTTCTGCAGAGTTGCTGGCCTTAAGCATAGTCATGTAAGACTGGAATGCAGCACATGCCTTCACCTTTCACCTTTGCATGTATAGCTTGATCTGAACTAACCTCTTTTTTGTTGGGGTGAAACAACCTGCAGCAGAATACTGGGCTAATCTTTGCAAAAATCTTGGCAACATTTAACCAGACTTACTCAAAACTACATTAAATCAGGAACTCATTACAAAGCTATGTGCAGTAGCAGCAGTAGCAAGACTTCAGAATGTAGATAGGTAGAGTTACATACCATTTTGTTCTTTCTTTTCAGTTATAAATAAAATATTCTCCAAAATGCTGTTACTTTTCAAAATTATTTAATTTAAGTGATTAGTTAAAATCTTGCAAAAATATTATGTGTTGCCAGATTGTGAAGAGCACAACATAAGTACACCATGTTCAAAAAATTATTTTAGGATAAATGTGTTTCACTTGTCTTTGGTTTTATTGTAGTCACTGATATCAAAACGTTTTGCAACCTTTTTTTTTTCCAATGAAAGTCATGTCGACCTTAAAATGTTGACTTCACCCCTAAAGTCCAGGCACAATTTCGATGTTTATTTTTGCTTTTCCAAAGAACTCTTGCTAAATCTCTTCTTTCGTCAATACCTTGTTGTGTTTTGCCAACAGCTGTTTAGTTTAGCCAAAAATACGTCTACCTCCAGTTCCTAGAACTACCAGTCCAGCTAGATATTTGGTCGCTAAAGCAAAGTGTTGCTCATATTGTTTTTTTATTGTTTTGCAATTATTGGGAATTTAATTTGTTCAACTTCAATGTAGCGATAAACAACAACTGCTTTTGACAGTATAATAAATTCAGAATAGTAAACTGGAGCTTGCACAAGTGCTTTCCTGTAAGCAACCTAAAACCTGTACTTTCTTTGTTCATTACCAGTTTATTTAAGTTTTGTGCACTGACATATACAAAACATTTAAACACTTAAGTTATGAAAAATTTACAAAGTTATTTATTGCTTTTGAGGTTTTCTTGTTTCTTTTGTTTTGTTTTGCTGCACTTATTGTGGTTTTAGGAAGGTAGCAAACATAACAACAATGTGGGCGTGAAACCAGTTTCTTGCTTACCTAAAAACTTTAAAGCAGCAAGAACCTTTGAAATTCACTTTTATGTCACCTTTTCTTCTGACACAAGCATTTTTCCCTCAAGCAAGCTGCGCCCAAAGTCCTTGCAAAGTCCTTTGCTCTTATTGTATCCTAAAAACAGGGATTGCTTAACATGCACATGAGGGTAATTCCTTTTTTCTTTCTCAGGAACAGATTTAAGTTTGCAGTTAATTGTCTGGTGTGTATTATGGCATGTGCCATTGATAATCTTAGAACATGCACTGTTGCCTGCATGTTTGTCTAAGTCATACTAATTCATAGATATGTGACAGCTTTTGAGATCTAAAATATTTTTACTATCAATAACAGTTTGCACATTGGGTGCCTGTATCGACTGCAAGAGTTGTCAGTAATTTTAAATGACCTTTAAAAAGTCCACTTCATAACCATCTAACTGAGGGAGATTATTGATCAAGAGCAGAGCAAAGTTCATCAACAGTTGACTCTAACTTTCTGGCCAATCTTGGGCTTAGAGGCGGGGGATAGAATAAATGCAAGATGATACATATGCGCTTCAGTTCCTCGGAGAAGAAACCGGGGTCGGTTCAGAGTGTTTTAGCAGGCAGGAGAGCATTTTGCAAATATGTTTTCACTAAAATCTCCGTCCCTGATGCCGGTGACCCGCGCGGAGGCGCTGCTCGCTCTGAGCTGCCTGGCTGTCGTTCTCCTCGCATTCCTGCTGGTGCGCCAGTTCGTCAAGCAGAGGAGACCCCCTGGATTTCCTCCCGGTCCGTCTCCCATTCCTATTATAGGAAACATTTTTTCTCTCGCCACTGAGCCGCACGTCTTTCTCAAGAGGCAAAGCGAAGTACACGGGCAGGTAAGACTCAAACTCCCTGGAGCGCATTGCGCGGCGCGGCGCGCCGCTCGATAACCGTGCGGGGCAAGACCCTCCTCCGCGCTTTCGAGCGTGCACAGTCTTGGGATTAGCTATGAAACGAACAAAGGAGACTCGCCCTAACATTTGGCAGACCGGAGGATTTGATTGAAGCAGGACAGCTGACAAATCAGGAGTTCCGAGAAACGAAAATCTCCTCCCAAGAAGCCACATAGACGTCCTTTAAGCCATGCAGATTTTGTTAAATATTATTTGACAATGCATGTATATTTGCATAAGAAAATATACGTGCATTTTTGATGCGTGCATATTTGTTATATATGAATAACAACTAACAAAAACAAAAGAAAACAAGCTTGCATTTAGTGTGCAAAGTTATTGCAAATTTAGCCCTATTATTAAATATGTGTGACTGAAGGAGAAAAAAAAATGACTTCATGTTCCTGTTTCTTTTTCAGATTTTCAGTCTTGACCTGGGAGGCATAATGACAGTGGTATTAAATGGTTATGATTGTGTAAAAGAATGCCTTTATCACCAGAGTGAGGTTTTTGCTGATCGCCCTTCTCTGCCACTATTTCATAAAATGACCAAAATGGGTGGTAAGCTGCTGATTCATGCTTCTCATACACAAGTTCATAGAACGAGACAGTGGTTGGGTTCTGAATAATGCAACTTGTTTTGTTTTTATTTCTCACTTTGCAAAGGTCTTCTAAACTGTAAGTACGGGAAAGGCTGGATTGATCATCGCAAGCTGGCCTGCAACTCTTTCCGTTACTATGGCAGCAGCCAGAAACTGTTTGAGCGACGAATCACAGAAGAGTGCATGTTCTTAGTTGATTCAATTGACAAATACAAGGGAAAGCCCTTCAACCCAAAACACCTCGTAACCAACGCCGTGTCAAACATCACCAATCTGATCATCTTTGGCCAGCGTTTCACCTACGATGACAGCAACTTCCAGCATATGATTGAGATCTTCAGTGAGAACGTGGAGTTGGCTGTCAGCGGGTGGGCTCTCCTCTACAACGCCTTTCCTTGGATTGAATATCTGCCCTTTGGAAAACACCAGAAGCTGTTCCACAATGCTGCTGTGGTGTATGACTTCCTGCAGAAGGTTATAATGGGATTTTCCCAAGGCAGGGTGCCCCATGCACCGCGCCACTATGTCGATGCCTATTTGGACGAGTTGGAGCAGAACGCAGGAGATCCCAGGAGTTCTTTTACTTATGAGAACCTCATCTATTCTGTGGGGGAGCTCATTATCGCCGGCACAGAGACCACAACCAACACCCTGCGTTGGGCCATGCTGTACATGGCCCTCTACCCCAATATACAAGGTAAGTCTAAGATGAACCATCATTAAAACAAGTGGGTTTGATCAAAATGCATTTCTCTGTTTTGAACAAATGAGTAATTTTCCCTGTTTTGCCGTGCAAAGAGAGGGTGCACAAAGAGATCGACAGTGTGCTGACCAATGGGAGGCCACCTTCTCTCGAGGACAAGCACAGGATGCCCTATGTGGAGGCTGTTCTGCATGAGATCCTTCGCTTCTGCAACATTGTGCCTCTTGGTATTTTCCGTTCCACCTCCCAGGACACTAAAGTCAATGGCTACAAGATTCCTAAAGGAACCATGGTGATCACAAACCTCTACTCAGTGCACTTTGATGAGAAGTACTGGAGCGACCCAGGAGTCTTCTTACCAGAAAGGTTTCTGGACAGCAGTGGCAACTTCATAAGGCGTGAGGCCTTCCTTCCGTTCTCTTTAGGTCAGTGTTCTTGTGCTCTTCCTATGAAATAAAAACTGAGATTTTGTTAAAGAAACATTCAAATATGCCTTTTTATAAATTCTGATTTAAAAACGGTTTACTAACTACCTGAAACTATTAAACAGTAAATTACACCTAAAACGTTGTCACCATTTTACAATTTGGGGAAAATACTTAAGTGCCTCTTGTGAAATTTCCTCTGCTTATTAGCTTAAAACCAGGTAAAGGAAAAATAAAAAATGAATGAAAAGCATCTTTTAGGTTAGTTCTTACCTTCAATTTACTGTACTTGCCAGGTGCATGTTACACCTGGCAACCAACAACTTTTAGATTTGCATCACTCTTTTTACTTAAATTTCTTTTTTCTCTAAAACAAATCTTTATTTCGCTTGAAAGTCAGAATATTATTTTTAGAAAACAATAACTCAGTTTTTTTTAAACTTTTGTTCTATTTTGATTAGTCTTTAAAATTTGTTTAAATCTCAGTATTTTTTTTGTAATTTTGGGTTCAGTGGGATTATAATTTAACAATTGTTGGCTCAACAAAATTCAAAATTGAACTTCAATTACAAACCTTCAGTATTCTGCTCATCCTTCAGTCTAGTTAGTGAATACTCATTAAGTAAATGCTGCCTACTTTATGTGTACTTGTGCATCCAGCTTATATTATATATGTTCATGTCCACATGTGGAGAACTTTTTTTACATGTTGGACTCATTCTTTATCTCTGAAAACCTACATGATTCCCTTCTGTAATGTCTTTATGAACTTTAGTTTATTTGGACTTAAGGACATGGTAGCCACATGTTTCAGTTATTTCTACGTGAGCATGAGTTTAAATGAGCACATTTTGTATTTTCAGGGAGGCGTCACTGTGTGGGTGAGCAGCTGGCCCGCATGGAAATGTTCCTATTTTTCACCACATTGCTGCAGAGGTTTCATCTTCAGTTCCCTCCACGAACCATTCCAACTATAACTCCCCAATTTGGAATGACCCTACAGCCCAAACCTTACTCCATTTGTGCTATCCGCAGGCAGCAGAGGTTCCAATGCTCTGAAGGAACTCCTTACCACAAGTAGGTTCGTTGGCTGCAGTGCACAGAATCACCTGCGCATATTCATCTTTTAAAGGACTTTTGGTGATCCATATGCCCACTGACATCTTAACACAGTGCTATAGTTTATTCAAGTGCTATAGATATATTGTTTATAAGCACATATGCATGTTTGCACAGTACTTTTGAACAGCAGGGGAGGCACCAGGATCTGAATGGACATCCTGGGAGCACGGATGGGCTATCGATTTAATTCCCTGAGCTCCTGCAACCAGAAACAAAATACCTGTAAACCTTGGCGCAGCGGCGATGGTTTAGGTCAATGATTTATATTATGTACACCAATGATGGTTCATAGCAGTGATGTTGTAGGACAGCTTTGGGGAGATTAATGACACCAGGTATTCATACAGCATGTCTGGCCAAATGGGACTAATGGATTTTCCAAGAAAGTTCTGAACTGTGTATTGGAATTGGCTTTAGATCAAGATTTACGTCATCTGGACTGACTCTGAACCTTTCTCCAGGGATAGTGCTATGTGGAAAATCTTTCTCTTAGAAAGCAAATGCAACCCTGATGAATTTCTAGAAACTGACTTTGCAAGACTGGTTTCTGATAAATGGTGCTTATCAGTTTATATAAACAAAATAATATATTTTGTTTATATGTAACATGTTTGTTGTATTTTTGGAATCCTGGTAGTGTACATGTTCATTTTATTTTTTGTGTGTGTATTCATAAATTTGCCCTTCCTTTTCTTTCAAAAATGTTATTCTTAAATGCTATTTTTTCCCCAAATGAGCCTTTGTGTTTTTCTATGTTATTATTAATTTCACAACTCCCAACTGTTCTGATGCATCACTAGCAGAAACATTTCATAGAATGTAACCCGAAGAAAACTCAAACATCTTTGGGGTCACGTCTGAGGAAAAAAAAGTCTTCTTTTTAAAGTGAAAAAATCACTGTTCAGTATAAATTATTTCTAGAATCTAACACTTAATAGATTCTAGAAATCTGGGATACCAAACTACAGTTGGACAACAATGTTAATAACTTAATAGAATGACAAAAAGACCACAACTGGACTTCATAACCATCAATAGGCCAACTTCAAATTGCTTTTTAGTTCTTTCTTAGGATTCAAACATCAGACAACAGGCAATTACAAATGTCAAGAACTAAAGGAATGTATTGTCAAGAAATTGAAAGAAAGCAGCAAACCACAGAACAAGTTTGGCAGAGCGCAGAGGTGAAAGAGCCTTTAATGAAAATTAGTGACAGATGTGTCTAAAGACCCCACAACATCTGCCAAAACAGAAATGAATGACTTAACCTCAATGAAAACTATTGCTAAAGCCCTGCACAGAAATGAACTGCAGTCCAGGAAGAATTCCACCTCTGTAGAAAAAACACCTCAAACCAAACTACATCTTCCTAAGAACATCCGAGAGAAAGATTATCCATCCTCGAAACAGGTCTTTACCAAGGATATGACAAAACCAGAGCTCTTTGGCTACAGACACTGCATGTTCGGAGAAAAAAGGAGGAGGTCTATACACCAAAAAGCAGATGTAAAATCTGGTTGTTGCAACTGGAAATCATGTCGCGTTAAAATGAATCATAAAGAAAGATGTGAAAATTTAACAAGGAAAGGTATTCTCAAAACTGAGTCTAGTCTTTGCTTTGTGTTCCCAACACATTATTTCCAAACATTATCTGCTATTAACCTGGTCAAAACCCTGACTTACATGACTGCAAGTCGTGCTTGATCTCAGGGAGTTATTAAATATGAATGAGCTTGGGATATATTCCCAATGAGGAGTGGGCTGGGATTCCTTAAGAGGCGTGTCAGAAACTTGTTGAAAACTACAAACAACAATCCTCTTTCGACTTCTGTATCCAGCAGTAGGATCCACAAAACACCAACAGCATGAGGAGTGTCAGATTTTCAACCCTGGCAGCTCTAAATGCAAAACAAAACTAAATAAATTATTAAAAACAAACTCTTGAAATAATTTTAAAACAATGCATTTCTTGAACTCTTGTTCTTTTTTCTTCCCCCTTTTTGTTATAATAAAAAGAAAACTGGTTGTAAACACTTGTATGTACTGTTCCTTTTATCATTTATTTTATTACCTTTAAACTTCATATATTTATGTATAATTTCTATATGCTCTAAGGACAAGAAGCTGTAATCAGATTTCTTATTTTTGTGCACACAGTCTTTGCCATTAATGATTCTGAATTTTAATGCTGTCTACACATTTGTAGTCTCTGTGACTTTTTAGGTCAGACCCTAAAAAGTTTGAGTCTCTTTCATGCGCAGTCTTCTTCCAGAAACTGGAAATTTTACGTTCAGTGTTTTGCTTACTTTCCAGCAGCGGCAGCTCCTAGTTGTCTGACATTCTGCATAACTACTGAATGGGACAACATGGAATGGAAGTAAGGGACGAAAAAGAACAGTTCGGGTCTTGTTCAATCTGATAAATTGAAGATAAGATTCACGCAACCTCTTGAAACAGATGATGTTATGTGAAACCCCATATGTGGCTGTGGTTTTTGATTGCTTATTAGCTTCTTTTTTGTTGAGGTAGTGTGGAACAAAAAGAACAAAACAATGCATAGTTTGGACTCACAGACACACAAATACCCAAAAGACCCCAAATAAAATAATTTTTAAAAATCAATGAGGACAGCTGATACTTTAGGGATGGTAGTTTTATGGCATCTATAAATAACAACAAAAATTGGCTGTCCCACATTAAAGATACGGGTGAATGGTTACATTAGACAAACGCTCGTATACTGATGCTACATAAGGGTCACAACTGTTCATAGATGTATTTATGGCACAATCACAGATGACTCTGTGGTTTGGGAGACTGCACAGTGAGAAGTCAACAACCATTTACAACGCAATGAGCGAGAATGTCAGGTCAGGAGCTACCACGGCTTTCTGATCCGGCTCGGGTCCACGTGAGAGAACTGGAACCGGGCTCGTCAGAACTCTCGCCTCGGTCACTATGGGTTGCTCTTGTACAAACAGCAATGGAGCCGGGAGAAACGTCTAAGATCGGCACGTCACAGCCAACACATGACGAGATGCGGGGAAAGTTTGGCACTAGTTGGATCAAGCGAAACAACAGTGAGAGAGTAAATAGAGGAGACAAGAGTGGTTATGGTACAAAAAGAAAAGGGAGCGAGGCGTGAGGCTGGAGCAGAGAGGAAAATAAAACCTTGCTCCCTACACAAGTTTCACATTTGGAAAAAGATGAACACTCTGGAAACACAAAAAGGTCATAATTACAGGATGTACAATATGTCAGCTGCGTGTAGAAAACAGATGCATTCATTCGATTATTTCAAAAATATATATATTTATATGCACATACTTTTTTGTACAGTGGCGAAACACTTGTTTGGTATTAAAATGTGCACAAAGGTATTTATTTTCTGTCATTAAATATTATTCAGCTTGCTTAACATTTTCTGCAGGGATTATGAGTTAATAAGGTGATAAAAGACCTAAGTAACAATTCTGCCTTCCCTTTGATAAAATATCATATTAAGTGGAATGCCAAGAGTTTAGACAGAAATTGAAAAACAGATTGAGAACTATTATGTTTTTAACCTGCCTTGTGACACTTTATATGTTTTATATATATATATATATTTGTCTATATAAACAAAACCAAAGAGACATTAAAACAGGGCATCTTGTCTTTACACACTGGCAAAATTGTGGGTTTGGATAAAAGTCTAAAAAAAGGATAATTTATATGAAGTAGTTGAAAGAAAAACAATCCTAGCCTGTGTGATATCAAAACAAAAACCTACTATATTATTCGACACCTGCAAAACTGATTGCTATGTTCCTGCAGAAAAGAGATTTGCAGTCTGGTGACAATCATAACTATTTTCTTCTCCAGTGAGGTTGTAAAACGATTTTGCAAACAGTGTATGAGTTAAACCAAGACACAACACATTCTGCCTGTCCCTCTACCACAGAGGACTTCATCTGCTTGAATTTGTTTGTAGTAAAGTTAATTAAGAGATTACAAACTACTTCAATCACCCCCATTTTTTTTTTAATTCCTTAAAGTGTATTTCATATGAATGACATAAATTCTTGCAAAATAATTAATCAACTTTGCACGAATCCTGAGTAACCTTTAAAAAAATACTTGTAATCAACAAAATAAAAGGAACATAAAGAATCCGTTCATTGAATCAGCACTCCTGATCTGAATGCAACACGTCAAACGCCAGAGGACATTTTACTGATTTGAAATCAAACAATGCTAAAATGACACACAAAGACACGCAAAATACACACTAACATGTTTAAAGATGTGCTCTCGTTCTCCCTGCTCATTCTCTCTGTCACATTCCGGTCAGAAATAGTCACACTCAAACTCAACAAAGAACAGAGAGTTAAGGGGGATTTGGGGGAAGTACGGTGGTACACATGAATAAAAGCATCAAAAACGATGCAGATATAATGCTATTAATCAGTCAACATTTCAATAAAGTCTCTGTGACTGAGTCTGATACAGTGTTTCGTGTCACCAGCAAGGAGAGGAAACTTCTCAAGCCGAAACTCTGGGCCAAAATGGACTTAGTAAAGTTTCAGACAGGCACATCAGCTTATGTATATACTCAAAAAATAAATATATTTCTTGATTCTCCTTTTTATATATATATATTTATCTATATCTATAGATATAGATATAGATATATATATATAGACACAGAGGCTGAAGCAGTTTCAGTCTCTTGTCTTCCGGACTGTCGGACTGTTCACTTTGGTAAGGGCTAAGGATACCACCTGCTTCAGTACTTTTCCTCTACCTTTCGTTTAATTTTCTTTTAAATAAACAGGAACTACTTAGTACCTAAAGGAGGTGTTAAGTGTTAAGCGCTTTGCATTCAAGGCAGCATCACAGCCAATTCACCATGGAGGAAAAGTTAATGCTGGAACCCCGTCCACAGTCCTCTTCTGCACCTTTACCCTTGGTTCTGGTGCTTTTATGTCTGTTTGCACTTGACTCTCCATGGGATGAAAGTGCATAGGGGTTGGGCCCCTACCGTTGCAGTAAGGATCCGCTCACAGTAGTAAGGCCTTTTTGTTTCTCTGAAAAACGACGTGACTGCTTTAACATTTGAGTGTCTGCACAGTGAATCATTTAATGTGTGTGTTCAGGATAGCGCGGGAACAAAGTATGTTTTATGTGCATCTATTGACTCTGTCTTTGTGTCGGTAAAAGGCAGACGGTTGAAGAAGTTCAGTCCTTCCACAGCTTCCCCTTTTCTTTTCCGTGCAGCTTTGCACATTCACTTTGTCCTCCTGCTACTGACGCTCCTCCCCCTCCTCCTCCTCCTGGATGACCTGGATGTCATCTGACGGGGAGGTGGGCAAGCTGTCCGGCTGCTGCTGTTTGCCAAGTTCTTTGTTCTTCTCCTCCTCCTCAATGATCTTTTTCCAAATCTTGTGGTTTTCCGTCAGGTGCTGCATGATGCAGCTGAACAACCTGCGACGACCTTTCGTCCTTCCTACAAGTGAGTAACAGAAGCAAACATCTTAAAGGAAATACGTGCTGGTGTGAGAACTGAAAAAATTCTCCCAGTGCAAAAATGAACAAACATAAAACAAAATGAATTAAATGTCAGACTCTTATCAGTGTCATGACATTAGCTTCATATGGAATGAAGCAGGTCGGTGTTTAAGTTCCTGGATATCACTGACTAAAGTTAGATTGCTTTAGGTGGAATTTTCATTTACTCTGTTTTAGCGGCGTTACCAAAAAGCAAGAGACGTAGCCATATATATTAAAATATTCTTTGAATGCATGAATGCGACAAAATCCACACCGCTACTTTTAAAATTAAGTTGCCCCTCAAATCAAATGAGCATCAAAAAAGAGCAGTGATTGTTAAATCTAACCTGTTGCCAGATCAACTTCTAACTCATCTTCCTCATCTTCTTCTTCATCTGTGTCCTCCTGTGCTTCATCATCTTCTTCATCTGATTCCGATTCATTTACCCAGTGACCAGGAAGCAGACCGGCCGCGTCATAGGAGTTACAGAGAGGTCCCACAATATGGGTGATGAAGGATTCCTGTAGCTTGGCCAGCTGCGGTGCAGAGCGGTCCATGAAGGGGCTGATGGGTAATCCTAACTTTGCTTCTTCATCGCCCTGCAGATAACAAAAGCTTAAGTTAAAAGCTGCTTTAATGAAACATACGGTGAGAAATTAAAACTGGTGTTCAAGGTCTGTTCCAATCTGACTCCAGGTTTCTCTTAAGGTGTTATTTAACAAATTGTCAGAGTAGGGATGGGCTTTTATACGTCCATCCATTATTAAACTATCAAAACATAGTTCTTAACTAGTTCTGAACTATTGTGAATTACAGTAGATTATTGTTTTTTTTTTCATTGAAATACCAAAATATGTAGAAATGTGTTCTACATATTCTCGTGCTTTCATTATGAAGTACAGAGAAAAGTTAGCTCAGTCCATCAAGACTATGAAATCAAACAGAGGGGGTCAAACATGGCCGATTTAAAATGACTTCTAACAGTGAGAGGAATTAAGAGATGTCCATTAACTTTCTCTATTAAGTTTTTCTTTTTGAATCGTGTGCTTGCTCCAGTTTGTTGTAGCAACATTGACGTTTAGATAATGACGAGGTTTCTCTAAGGGTTGATTCAGAAAAAATGCTAGTTGTAATGGGATGGGGGTGGTTGTACTCTCATAGATCAAGACAATAAATATTAATGCAATTCTCCAAAAGTTCAAATGGTAAGCAGAGTGCAAAGGTAAAAGATAAAAAAGAAGCATTTTCCGCTACTTTTTCTCTATAGCAGAGGACGCTGAGATTAAAGTATATCATGTCTGTTAATATGCATTCATTCCTACAATTCAGAAATTAAATACAGAAAAAAAGTCTGAAATTTAAGAAAAACTGATTCAACCCAAAGGTTCATAAACAATTCCTAGAGTTTCATTGTGCATAACAGAAGGTATTTTGGAAAAGGAAAAGGCCAAACATTCCCAAAGCTATAGGCAACCACATCTTTATCTTGATAGTATTGTCATTACAAAGTTTTATGGAGGGATATATGAAACAGAGAAACTGCAACATAATGTAGAAAATCTATTTTATAATTCTTCTCCATGATCCACTCCATTCTGAGGACCTTCTGAGCCTTTAATCTTTTCACATCCATCCACTTCGAAAATGGCACAAAACTAATGGGTTGGTCTGCTGATCTATCTCCTTGGTTTATAGAAAAAACCCAATGAAAACCCACAACAAGCTGAATCTTGAAACAGATTATCAACAGGAGACCACAATGGGTGCCACTCCCATCAGAGGAAATTGGATCATGACAGATTGCAAATTGTTGCCTTGTCTTGTACAACTCGGGTTGTCTTAGGAGTTTTGAATTCAGCTGCAACATTAATACAGAAGGTTCTGAATTTGGAGCAAATAACCTGAAAGCATGAAACAATCCCGCCTTGTATCAACGGTTCAGGTTTCTGCTGGTGGCGTTCTAATGCTGTGGGAGATATGTTCTACCTACATCTAGCTAAACAGTTTACAAAAGTCCACTTATTGTTGCTGACCACTGTGTAACTGATGGCGACTGACTCAAAACATCTCAGGTGGATTTCTTGAACATGACAATGAGTTCATTGTAATCCTACAGTCGCTTTAATCCAAAAGAGTAGCTTTGGATTAACAAGAGATTCTAATATTGGATCTACAGACAATGAAAGAGTGATGTCATCATGTCAATATGTCTGAGGAATGTTTCTGATACTTTGTTGAATGCATGCCACATGGATAATAAAATAACCATTGAGTAAACTTTGCTCTATTATTGTACAGACTGTACCTGCTCATAAAACTCATTAACAATGCCTTCTGTCCACTTGAGGTGCAGGTCTCGGACTTTGGCTGGTCCATTGATGTCTGCCAGCTTGATACAAACTTGGCACACCAGAAGTCTGTCGTTCTCATTGGTCCAATCAATTCCTGGACTGTTTACATCGTTTACCTTTTAACAAACAAACACACATGGATGCCTTTTTTTTCTTTTACCACAACACAGATTCCAGAAATGAGGAGATCAATGATGATGTGATTTATGACTGGTGTGATAGTGCACCTTGGCATTGAACTCAGCCAGAAAGTCAAAGTGCTTCTTGAGGTCTGTGGCCAGTATCGCCTCAATGACGAGGAAGCGAAAACGTTTGAATTCAACATGATCTAAGTTGGTCAGAAAGTTGTACTCGGGCTGGGACAGATAGAGGCTCCAGGCGGATGCAGCATGGTGGTTCTCTAGGACTGAGCGATCGTTGTACAGCACTGCCTGTAATTGACAGGACAAACAAAACAAACAAGTGAAGAACTGCAGAGTAAGGTGGTTTCTAATGCTTAGTTAAGAAGCTTCACTAATGCATTTTTTAGATAATGTATCTGCAAAGACATAGCAATTTGTGAAGGATTTAAAAATAGCAACAAAAAAATCCATAAAAGAGATAAAAACGCACAAAGATAAATGGTTATGAAAGACATATTAGACATATTTTAGTATAAATACTGTAATGATTAAAGGCGAACACAATGGCAAATGTAGCAGTCTTTTGACGCAGACGGTAGTTCACCACACAGTCAGTAATTAACCGGTTCAAGGTCCATCTCCTTTCTTTTGACCTTTTTTTTGACTAAACAGAGACAGTGAGAGTCTTATCACTGGTTGTGAAAACACATCAAAACTGGAACAAGTGGTGACTTTTTCCTGCTCTCCTGTGCATTAAAGAGAAAAATGGGATGAACCTTTTACGTGAGCAGTATCTAATCTTGCACATGATCCAGATTTGTATTACATTTGCTTGATGACATGAAAGCAGTTGAAAAGAAAGTCACTAAGGAAAAGGGATGTGAGGAAAAGCACTCAAGTTAAATATTAACCAGAAAAACTAAAGGAAAAGTACACCCTATAGAAAATAAGATACAGTTGAACAAACACTGCTGTCTTTTACAGACATCTCCATACATTATTCATCAAATTACAACAATAAGTACAAAGAAGAAAATGGACTATTAGTTGCTTTGATTCAAACTATATGAGGCCTTGTGAAATTTTAAATTCTTTGTTTTACACATACAATTCAGAAAAATGTGGCATTTGTGTGCATTCAGCCTCAATAAAAGCAGGTCTTGAAGAACAAGAATGCAATTAGAGGTGTAAGCCTTTTGAGGGCTGTGTCCACCAAAATTATACGTCTAGAGTCTGACGTTTTTTGTTAAACACAACTTGGGAGAGAATTTCTAAATGGAAGCTTGTAAATATGTTCACTTAGTGTTAAATGCATACAGATCTGAATACATTGTTATTGTGCATGACGCTGCTCACATCCTCCTTTCCCAATGCTAGGCTAGAGCTACAGCTACAGCTACAGCTAGAGCCACATCGGAGCCTGCCACGAATGCTCAGGCTAGTTAGCATGACAGCTGATGATGATGGATAAAGTTTCCCTGTAGTGGTAATTTGATTCTCCACCAGTAGCACATTGTGAAGCACATTGAGAAGCACATTATGAAGCGCACACAGAAGTGATTCACATTGCTAAGACCCTCCGCCTGGCTCTGATTGGTTGTTTCTGACCAGGAGCAAATATGTAAAAGACATTTCTTAATGCAAGTTACATAGAGCAACTTTAATGTTGTAAGTACAGATATGTACTTAAACATGTTGGAAGACTATCAGCTATTTTAAGTGTACAAAATACCACCAAAGCAAAATAAAAAGAAAGGAACTTATATTTCTCTCCATTTAATCTTTTCTTTTCTCCTCAGCATTACTGAGGAATAATTTTGTAACTATATGGGAAAATGAAGTATGTTTTCTTTATGGCTGTAAAACCAGGATTCATTTTTCTCCCTACTGGGGTCTGTTTGTTTCCAGGTGCCTCATTAAGCTTATACTTAAGTTTATTGCATCTGAAACAGACTTTTCAAAATCCGGGCATTTTACATTTTAGTGTCACATTGTGCTGATCTACAGACACCACATATTCAAATTCATTTGAATTTGTATTACACCTGCTAGATGAAGTACACAAGGACACAAACAAAACTATAGGATCTGTGTGCAAGGAGAGACAGAGAAACCGTGGAGGCTAAAAATAAACTTTTTGCTAATTTTATGACAATAGTATAAATGAACATTCTGTACAATCTTGGCAGGGATACATTGGCACACTTTAAAGAGCATTTGCTCAAATTAAGAGTAATTGATGAACCCATCCACTGATTTTGGTAAAGAACACAGCAGAGAGCCAGACATGTGATTATCTCACTCACCTGACCTCGAGCCCAGATGCCAAAGTTGATATTTGCTTTACGATTGATGGTTTTCAGAAAAAAAAAAATCCTTTTAAAGGTCAGTTTGAAAGCTTAGCAAACAATGACCCTCTATGTGCTCAGTGGATGCCAGACAGAGATAATGGATGAGGTTGCATTATGTGCTTCATGCAGGACAGAAACATTGGAAAACTGTTGTTGCAAGTCAGGTGCCTTGCGTTAAATAAAAGAGGAGGGTGGGAGTAAAACCTCCATGATATATTTCTACCAATTTAAAAAGACAAAAATTAGGGTTTTTAGGACTATATCAGCCTCTGCATTTATTAACATTGCTGCTGAAGATGTTGAGGAAGCCTAGAAAATATACATTTTATCAACAAAATCTTACACTGAAATATAAAAAAAAATCCAACACTTAATTTGAATGCATTTATTTGTGAAATATATGTGGAAAAATATTATAATAACGTATTTATGTATTTATTTTTTTGGTGACATCATTGGCGGTGACCCTAACAATTTCTACAAAATGGTCTCACTTGAGTGGTGTCACAGAAATTTTAATTTGTAATCCATAACTTTCTTCTTCAGTGGGTTATTACAGATGACCAAGAGGCCAAGTTATTCTAACCACCCCTGAAAACAGGAAGGATTACTGATTACCTGTCCTTAAAAAGCCTGACCAACCAATTCCATTTTTGGGTGATAAATGTTAAATGGACTGAACTTCAACAGGGCTTTTCCAATCATTATGACCATTCAAAGTGCTTTACACTCACAAATACAAACACTTTTATACACTGATATGCAGATAGGTAGTTTGGGGTTAAGTACCTTGCCCAGAGGCACATCAACATGTGGCAGGAGAAAGCTGGAATCGAACCTACAACTACTCTGCCCATAGAGCCACAGCCACCCAAAGTAACTTGCTATCAAATTGGTTACATAGTATCAAATTGGCAATGTTGATAAATATAACAAGAAAGTCGCTGAGTTGGCAACAGAGGGATGACTATTTTTAACTACAAACACGCAGACATAACCTGTGGCCCGGTCTGTCAGTCAAACCTGTCTCTCTCTGCACAGCAGAAAAGGACACTGGTTGATTTTCAGACCTTTGTTGAGGTAGACAAGATTGACTTCACCTGTAAGTATTGGCCAATCACCCATCTCTCAAAATATGCTACTGCAATAAAAGAACTCATTTGATAAGTATAAATTTTCACAAGAGAGTGAAGTAAATGCTTACACTATATTGTCAATAACCTCTGGGGTGTGCAAAACTTTAAAAGGAAAAAGTTAATCAGCAAATGCATTCATTATTTATGGTGACATTTAGATGTACAAGACCAATAGGTTACCTGAGGTGCATTAGTGGCTATTAGAAAGGCGTTTGTACGACCAGGATGGTCGTAGTCGTGCATTGCAGCTGCTACATAAAGGGCCATGAGCTCCAGGGCAGGTATGTTCCAGGCCAGGCAGCCGTAACTGTCATCTGAAATGGAGGAGCTCTTGGAGGTGGCGTATGATATCCTGCCCGGGGAAATTCCACTATCTGAATCTGGAAAGAATAAAACAGTTTGACAACTTCTCATTACGGACAGACACAAAAAAGTAGTTTAACTAAAAAAAAAATAAGGAAGAAAACTTATAATGTAAACTAAACATTGTGCTACATAACAGAAATCTTACATCAGAAGGTGAGAGGAGATCGTGGTTAATGGACTTTTATCAAAACACGATGCATATAACCATGCTGGATAATTACGATGTTTCGTTTTTGATGACTCAGTAGTATTTACCTGTGTCACTTCCTGTCACATGCTCACTGTGGATCTGCTGAAACCCAGGGATTGGTCGAGTGGTTAAGTACCAAACAGCATGGAGCACATCTGTAGCATGGACCCGGTTATGATCTGTTTTAAAGCAGAACAGTACAAACGGCCTTGTGATAATAGCTTGGACATATTTTTAGTGAGAGTAAACATATGTACTCATAATAATGCAGCGCAGGATTATAGGTTTTACTTGAAACAGGTAAGCAAAGTCAGTGGCATTGTAATTTTTTTTATGGTTTCAACAAGGGTAGGGAAATGTACAGTTAGGGCCAGAAATATTTGGACAGTAACACAATTTTCGTGAGTTGGGCTCTGCACGCCACTGCATTGGATTTGAAATGAAACCTCTACAACAGAATTCAAGTGCAGATTGTAACGTTTAATTTAAAGGTTGAACAAAAATATCTGATAGAAAATGTAGGAATTGTACACATTTGTTTACAAACACTCCACATTTTAGGAGCTCAAAGTAATTGGACATATAAACATAACCCAAACAAAAAAGTTTTTTCTCAATATTTTGTTGCGAATCCTTTGGAGGCAATCACTGCCTTAAGTCTGGAACCCATGGACATCACCAAACGCTGGGTTTCCTCCTTCTTAATGCTTTGCCAGGCCTTTACAGCCGCAGCCTTCAGGTCTTGCTTGTTAGTGGGTCTTTCCGTCTGAAGTCTGGATTTGAGCAAGTGAAATGCATGCTCAATTGGGTTAAGATCTGGTGATTGACTTGGCCATTGCAGAATATTCCACCTTTTTGCTCTCATGAACTCCTGGGTAGCTTTGGCTGTATGCTTGGGGTCATTATCCATCTGTACTGTGAAGCGCCGTCCGATCAACTTTGCAGAATTTGGCTGAATCTGGGCTGACAGTATATCCCGGTACACTTCAGAATTCATCCGGCTACTTTGTCTGCTGTTATGTCATCAATAAACACAAGTGACCCAGTGCCATTGAAAGCCATGCATGCCCATGCCATCACGTTGCCTCCACCATGTTTTACAGAGGATGTGGTGTGCCTTGGATCATGTGCCGTTCCCTTTCTTCTCCAAACTTTTTTCTTCCCATCATTCTGGTACAGGTTGATCTTTGTCTCATCTGTCCATAGAATACTTTTCCAGAACTGGGCTGGCTTCTTGAGGTGTTTTTGGGCAAATTTAACTCTGGCCTGTCTACTTTTGGAATTGATGAATGGTTTGCATCTACATGTGAACCCTTTGTATTTGCTTTCATGGAGTCTTCTCTTTACTGTTGACTTAGAGACAGATACACCTACTTCCCTGAGAGTGTTCTGGACCTCAGTTGATGTTGTGAACGGGTTCTTCTTCACCAAAGAAAGTATGCGGCGATCATCCACCACTGTTGTCTTCCGTGGACGCCCAGGCCTTTTTGAGTTCCCAAGCTCACCAGTCAATTCCTTTTCCTCAGAATGTACCAGACTGTTGATTTTGCTACTCCAAGCATGTCTGCTATCTCTCTGATGGATTTTTTCTTTTTTTTCAGCCTCAGGATGTTCTGCTTCACCTCAATTGAGAGCTCCTTTGACCACATGTTGTCTGGTCACAGCAACAGCTTCCAAATGCAAAACCACACACCTGGAAACAACCCCAGACCTTTTAACTACTTACTTGATTATAGGTTAACGAGGGAAAGGCCTTTTGAGTTACTTGCAGCCTTTAGAGTCCATTGTCCAATTACTTTTGGTCCCTTGAAAAAGAGGAGGCTCTGCATTACAGAGCTATGATTCCTAAATCCTTTCTCCGATTTGGATGTGGAAACTCTCATATTGCAGCTGGGAGTGTGCACTTTCAGCCCATACTATATATGAATTGTATTACTGAACATATTTTTGTCTACAGCTAAAATAACAAAACCTGTGTCACTGTCCAAATATTTCTGGCCCTAACTGTATATTATGAACATATGATAGGTAAATATCTGTTATTGGTCATAACAGCAGTATTAATACCAATATCAATCAAAATGGTGCATCCCCAAAAAGGTCTATCCCACTAAAATCAAACTCAAACAACAATATTTGTTCAAAAAATATATTGGAAACTACACATAGCGATCAGTTTGACAAAAAAAAAAAGTATGTAAAATGTTTTGTCCTCAGCACAGTTTGACACTTACAGGGAATGTCTCTATAGCCACTTTCCAGAGCACAGAAGTAGGACATGAACTCCTTCACAGGGATCTTGAAGATCTCAAATAGACACATATCCTGGAAAAGCGTGTATGTCACCTGGGAAGACATGAACTTGAACTTAAATAAAAACTGGAAACTGTGTTACAGCATGCATCATTGGTATAATTTAATTTGCTCTCTTTTGGTCACCAACAACCTCTTTCCTTTGCAAGTCCAGACATGTATATTCATAAGGTCATTAACTTTAAATAATCAAAGAAAATAGAACTGTAAATGTTGAGTTTATCGCTTTGGTACTAACGTAGCTGAGGATCCTTCCCGTCTTCCCTCCTGTTGTGTCCACCAGCTCAAAGATCTGGAAATTCCAGGTGTCCATCTTCTCCATGAGACCCTCGTGGTCCTCCAGCATGGAATCAAGTCTGAACTCCTGTTCCCCCTGAAGACAACAAAGCAAACACATAAAAAGAAGGAAGAACAACAATAATAATTTTAAGACAAAATAAGAAGAAGAAATAACAAAACATGTCTTGCATATGCACCATGAGTTAACATACCAGTCTTTAAAACACTATTTAGGCCAGAGGGAATAATATTAAAAGTACCCTCTCTTCTGATCTTATCACCCAGGTGACTCGTGTCGAGCCGAAACAGTCTGATCAAGCTCACCTCTGCTTTCTGAGTCTGCAGCTCAGTGATGGACCTCTTCTCGTTCTCCTCTACCACACCCAGATCTCTTTCAGCATCTAACTTCCCCTCTCCAGTCACGTCTGGCTCTTCCCTGATAAAATCCCCCCCAGAATACTCCAGCCCTTCAACCACTGTAAACACAAATAAAACACAATGAGAACATAATGTTAACACTAGTGTGAAAGAATAAAAGAGTGCAGTTGCTGGTGATTATGTTATGTCGTTATGGAGCTTTAATCTAAAATGTAAGTCTATTCTCAACAATTGCAGTATTTTAATGAGTCCAGCAGAGGGCAGCATTAGTATATGAAACTACCCAAAGAGGGGTTTCTCTTTCACTATCCTTGGTCACCAAACGAGATTGTCTGCATAACTGGATTCCACTCTGTGACGTGCAGTAGGCATGACAGTTTGTACCTGAGCGCCTGCGTTGAGCCTCGTTGTTGAACAGCTGATGAGAGTCCCCAGACTCACTGCTGGAAATTCCCTTGAGCATCTGACGACCACAGCTTTAGTAGACAACGACAGATCATATTGGCATATATACTGCAAATTCATTGATACAAAACTGGGATAAAGTGAGACAAAGTCAACATGGAACTTCCGCAGCTCATGTCTTACCTGGTGCACAGAGAGAAGGTAGAGCTACGAAAGGCCTGCTGGAATTCAGTGGAGCTGACTAAAGGCTTGTGGAGGTTCAGATTAACACTCGGCTTTGTCAGGAAGTCCGCTGTGTCGGGAAACTCCACGGGCAACCGAGGGGTGAGGGATGATGAGGAACCTGTATTTAGTGTGGGGGGGCTATGGCTTGGTGAGGTGACTGGGCTGAGGCTGGGAGATGTGCCTAGAAAGGAGAATAAGAATGTGGGGATAGATAAAGGGTTAACGCTGAAGCACAGCCGTTTGATAACATATGCAAGTTCTGGAAGTTAAGTCTCACCTGTTCTTCTGGGCACCGCGTGGTATGTTAGGGTGACAGAGGAAGACCTCTGTTTGGGAATAGTGAGCAGGTTTGCATTGGGACCGTTGGTCAGGCTTGAGCTGTTACAAAAAGTCACAAACTCAGATGTTTTTGCTCATGAGGACAGCAAAGCTCATCTATCCTTCAACATTGAAGAGCTCTCCTGCCATCTAGTGGAAACATGCTATAGAGACACCACCCCACGGCAGTTTCTGAGAACTCTTTCAAATTTTTGTAAAAGTAAGAAGCCAAAATTTTATTTCTACATGCTGCAGTAAAAATCGTATATCAGTTTTTCTTTTCTAAGGTGTGATTTGTGGAACATTTCAAGTTAAAGAAAAAATAAATTACAGCACCAATTGATCCCTATTTCTCGATTCCAAAATGTCAGACTGCTAAATAAAACCAGACCTGGAAAGTGATTAGTTTATATGTAATCACTGAAGTTTGGCAGGGAACAGTTTGAAATATGGAGCTTTGTGGATAATTTTGCAGCTCCTATCGTCTCAATCTTTGACTTGCACAAAATGTTTTAGTTTACAATGCAGAAGACTGAAAGTGCAACCCATTTTTAGTCATCAAAAAGTTCAAACAATCTCATCTCCTATGACATTTGATGAATAATTATGTATATCACAGCAACTCACATCAGCCAAGTTTTATTTTTTTTTTACTCCAACTCAATCAAAACAAAATGTGAAAACCAGACGACTATCGTTATAGTTGAGGCAGCCATTGTCTAGCTATCTATGTCATGCTATTCAGAAATAAGATAGTCAATAGAAATTGATCACTACATGTTCACCTTCAGAATTTTCTACAACGAAGAGCAGCAGACCATCACACTGTCACCACCATGCTTTACTGTAGCTTTTTTAAATACCAGGGAAGTTCCACTTTCTCTCTGTCTTTGTGAAATATTTTTAATCTTTCAGAAGATTCAAAATTCTGTAAAAGATTTTCAAAGAGTAAGAGGCTTTTGTTTTTCTCTTTGGACAGCAGCTGTTTTCACCTTGGAGCGTTTCCACTGATTAAGTTTTCATCAGATATTAAGAACTGAATCATGAAAACAGCTAAACTCGGGAAAGCGGGACCTGAAGTTATTTAGATGATGTTATGGGTTCTTTTTATATGACCCTGTTGACTTGTCAGGGGTCGTTTTCGTAAGATATTAAATTCTGGGAAGGTTCACCACAGTTCCATGATTTCCATTTGTGCATGTTGGCTCCCACTGTGGTTTGCTGGTGTCATTATGCTTAGAAATCGATTTGTAACCCCTTCCAGACAGATTCCAATTACTTTGTTTCTGTTTTTTTAATTCAATTTCTTAAGATCAGGGGGATGAAATATATATCTAGATAGCCCTGTGTTCTCATGAAGGATCGAACAATCTCTTCTCATATTTCTGTAACACCATAAAATAAGGGGTCCAACTTTTTAAAATATGCATTAATATCCTTAAAACCAAGTTTACTCATTTGTTATAATTCATAAAGCTGGATTGTGCAGTGCAACAATCTGCACTGAAAGATTCTAATGTACTTTTGTTAACACAATAAAATAGATCCCACATTAGTAAAATACTTTGTCCTATCTGTAACCTTTTTTTTTTAGATGAAGCTAAAAACAATTAACTACAAACATCCTTTTGGGGAGGATGTAACTGGATTTTATCAGCATTATATAAGCCTGCTATAAATCTGCGTTGTGCTACCTGGTCAGACTGAGGTCACAGTGGGGTCTCTTTCCATTGTTACGCTCCCAGCGAGAAGAGCCAGAGTCTAGCGGAGGGAGTGCAGACGGTGTGGAGGAGGTTGAACTCCGCCTGGGCTGAGGTGTAGGGAGGCTGTTTCTGCTACTCAAACCCTGGCAGGCACAGGACAGATGTATTAGAGATAAGTATCTGGCAAACAATGTCTGATGAGGCAAAACAAACATAGACACATCATGGGAGAAATTCTTACTGAATACATTACAGAATTGCAAAGTGCCTTATAAGACAAAGTCTTCCCCAAAACTATCAAGCACATGATTGGAGCTCCAGTTGTACTTTGTTCCACAATTTGCTTAATATTATCAGTGCTATGCATCATAATAATGCCTGAAACCCATAGCTAAAGAAATAAATCATCAATGTGGACAGCTAAAAGAGATAGGAGGTAGGTTTATAGCTATGGCAAAACCTTTGCTCACCTTCATGCCTTTCCTGTCGCTCCTCTCTGCAGAGTCATCTGCCTCTACAGAGTAGAAACCTGGGAAGGGCGTAAAGGGGTTAACCCTGGGGCGACACGAGCCTGAAAACGTCCCCATCAGGCTGGAGATGCTTCGCAGAGTCGCAGCAGTGTTTGGTGACAGTGACGAGTCCATCAGCAGCTCTGACACAAGGTTTCTGGCCTCGTTGATGACTGAGAGATCCACCCCATTTCCACTAACAGCACCCTGCCACAAGAACCCAAACAAAACCACTCGTTAAAAAGGAGAGAGCGGCGGGGGGGCAACTTTAATCCATCCATCCATCCATCCATTTTCCGGTCACCCTTCTCCCTAACGGGGTCGGGAGGTGCTGGTGCCTATCTCCAGCTGCGTTCCAGGTGAGAGGCGGGGTGGCAACTTTAATGATGAGCATTATTTATTGCCATATGTGGTCCTATTGTTGAGAGAAAGGTTTTGCTTCCCCTAACCCAGTCAGATGTAGATGGCAACAATTTAATTTCTGTTCACAAATGCAAAAGGGACAAAAGTGTAAAACATTTCAATGATTTTTATGGTAAATATTGTCCTAATGGGGCTACTAACCTGAAACTCACACCAGATGACAATAACAAACTCTCACAATGAACACATTCAGAAAAAACAAAATGAACTAATCCACAAAGTAAGGGAGGAAAATTAGAAAAGAAAGGATGTCCAAAAAGAAATAGAAAACCAAGAAACTTGGCTTTCCATTTAAAGGCATTCTTGCTCCCAAATGTAAAGACCTGAGAAAACTATACATCAATGTACTGATGTCAGAAATAATAATCTGTATTATTGAATACTTAAGGACTTTCAAAAGTAAGTAATACAGTACTTTAACTTGAGTAAACTTTTGACCAAGCAACTTTTACTTGTAGTTGAGTCAGATATGCCCATGACTATAAATACTTTTACTCAAGTACTAGGGTTGAGTATTTTGTCTACCACTGCTAGCTACCAAGGTATTGCACAAGAAGAACCTCAAGGTAGGTGAAAGTAAACAACAAAACAAACTAATTGTAGTGGTTGCAAACATATTTCTAAACTTCTGAATGTTTCAGTCAGCACATTATTTTACCCTAAACTAACCACAGCAAAGCACTCTTTGCACAATTTCTGACAGTGAAGTCAAGAAATAATCTGAAGAGTTGCTTAAAAGAATAAAATAAATAAAATCCAGAGTTAACAGGTACAGTTTTGCCATGAAAACAACAAGCAATGCACTCAGCCACAATGGCCTTCATACCTACTCACTGAACAAGACTCCACTGCTGAAGAAAATTCATGTTAAAGCCAATTTAAAAATTGCTAGAGATCATTTGGTTAAGCCAATGCAGTGTTAGGAATATATAGACGGGTCAAAAGTTTAACTCTTTGAAACTCAGTGTTAAAACATAGTTCAGTAAAGTTTGAACATCACGGGGTGGAGCTATTTCTCAGCAAATACAACTCCCTATAAGTGGGAGGATAAATGTGTAGTCAGTAACAAAATGAGAAATGATTAATAAGAATCTGGAGATAAAACAATCTTTTTCAGCAAGATAATGTTCCCAAGAATTCTCTACATATGTTAAAAAATGATCCTAGAAAGGCCCAGTCAACTACCAGACTTAAAGCCAAATCAAAGTCAACCCTTCTCCACACAAGAAAGTTTGAGATGCATTTAATACATTTCATTTATAATAAACATTCCCTTTGCTGTTCAAATTTATTGCATACATTTTGGCTCCACTTGGTTTCTTTGTATGTGTGAATAACTTAGGTTGTAAGCAACATGTGGTGAGAATTTTAGGGCAAAAGCCATAGGAAAATATTTACTGAGAAAAACATTGAAGAGTTCATTATTTATTATCATTGTTAACTTCCTCTCCAAGTTCATTCCCCTCATTCTGTCTCTTCCTCTGGGCTCTTACAAAATAAGACAGAAGTGATAAAAAAGAAAAACAAGATTTCGGGGAAAAGAAATCTAGATTCCATTTTGAAAGTAGGGAGCTTTGCGTAAATCAAAAGTCAAATCTCATAAATTGTAATAGAAATCCACCACAGTGTAATCCTTCATTTTTGGACAGCTTTCATAACAGAAAATGTTCCTACTGGATCAACTTTGTCAAGAACACAAGCAAACAACGACTTTTGGCCTCTGGCAGCTGGATTCTTTGACAGATTACACAAATAGTTTAAACGGTACACGTAAATGTCTGAGTGAGATAAAAAAAAAAATGTGCCATGATTCAAGGGTCATTGTATGGAGAGTTTTACACAATGTGGAGTAAAAATGTGAGGAAGTGCTAAAGGTGAGTTCAGCTCTTTGAAAAGAAGAATATTTCCTGATTGACCTTTAAACTCAAAAACTGAGCTGAAGGAAATGCAGTACTGACCTGATACTGTGGCTTGTACCAGTGTTTCAGATCCCAGTCCCACAAGATCATCTGAAAGACACAAGTACAACTGTCAGTCAAACATCAACATATACATGCTTACAGAAAATATGGCAAATATCCACAGGCCTCGACCTGTGCTCCACTTTGAGCCTCCTCCAAAGGGGGCACAGGCAGGTCAGGAGCAGAGCTGCACGGCCTCTGCTAGTTTATTCTGCCTGTTATCTAAACACACAGTGTAGTAAAAGTTCACATTAAGGATTTCCTGCACCTCTTCATGCACTCTCTCCTCTCCAGGTACTGTGTGGCTGCACACTGCACACAGAGGCCTTTCACTGAGAGCAGACACAAGAAAAGCAAACCACTAAAACCACCACGGTGCGTCTACAATGGAGTTATGAGATCTTATCAAGCACCGACTACGTCAATCGGCAGCATTTCCATGCTATCTGTTGGTACCCATGCAAGAGCTCTCACACTTTACAGCACAGCACGGTCAAAGCTGGCACAGGTTGTGTAACACTACACTGGTGAACCTGAAATAACCTGATCTCCAGTGTCAAGTATGATGGTGATATAAATCAAGCAGATATTAATTGCTCAAGATAGCATTTAAGCAGGGTTTTGTGCATGTTTTTATTATTTTATTTGCCATACATATAATGGAAAAGGAGGGGGGAGGCTTTAAATTTAGCTCTTTGTCTTTGACTAAAGGGGAAAAGTTGTAATGCATTGACTGTTGTTATTATGGCTCACTGCCTAGGGCACCATGACATCAGAGGGTGGCAAAATAAGAAAAAAAGAATTAATTGCACCTCAAAAGAATTTGTTTTATTGCCTGTATGCATATCTAATAATGAGAAGCATGTTGTTAAAGGTTAAGTACTACATGGAAGCATAGCTAATAAGACCAGACTGGTTCCATATTTAGAATTTAAATATCAGAAGTAATCCTTCACTATCAGGTATCAAATGATAGTTTCACTTTTACTAAGCAAATATCATTTAGTCTTTTTTAATTTAAAATATCATGGTTAGACCTGAAATTAATTATTCTGCTATGTTCAATCTTTTTCACAGCTCTATTTTTGCCTGAGACTGATACAAGCATGAAAGAGGCAAACAAATGGACAAAGAAACCTGACAGGTCCTGATTTGACATTGTTTACAGATTCTAACAAAATACATATTTTTATTTGTGAATCTATAATTAGAAATGGGTCAGATACAGATAAAGTTTGCCTATTTATTCAAATCATGCAAGAACTTCCAATACTTTAACAGTGGATTAAGCCATCATGTAATTTTAATTTCTGCCACAAGGGGAATAGGACAGATTTCATATATATATATATATATATATATATATATATATATATATATATATATATATATATATATATATATATATATATTTATATATATATATATTTTTTTTTTTTTTTTTACATATATTTCAAAATGTTAAAAAAAATCTAATCTCTTATAGGTAGATAATTTTATTTATGAGCTATCACTATTATGGACTCTACTTACAAAGACCACAACTTAAACATGTAGTTCTAAGAGGGCAAATCAAATCTATAACTACATTTGTTAAATAGATCAGTGAGTCCACTCCTTCTAATCAGTACCTGCTTCATTGATCAAAGCGGGATGCTGGGTGTTTGTCATCAGCATCTGTACAATGCTGCCAAACATTTAATATGGCAAATAAGCCCTGCCATGGCAACCCAACATAGAGGCCAACAAACAATGGTCCGCACACCATGGCAACCAGATGGCGGGAGAAGGCCGTAGGACAGAGTCGCTGGCCTTCTGCTTGTTTACAGAGAGAGAGACGGAAGAGCTGAAACAGAGGCAGACATTAAAGAAGGGACGAGAATAGAAGACATAGAGAAGAAGAAAGTGAGATACAGGTAGATATTAGATTCCACATAAGATCTTGAGGCAGCTATACTCTCAAATGTCTGCTGTCGCACAATAGAGCGCATCAAGTGCACAATCTGCACAGCCATCCTAGCATGCATTTCATTTAACCTCTGCACAATCGCTACACAAGACACACACACACACGCACACTAAACAGAAAACTTTTTTAACTAGCCCTGACACAGGAAGAGGTGGCTGAAACAGTGGAACAGCCACAACTGTCTCCACAATTGTAGTCGACATTCAGATTTTAGGCTTGATGCTTTTGCAAACGGTGACATAAAATCTTATAACGATCAGATGTTTTCTTTAGAGATTGCATAAAAACACAACAAAGAAATATGTGACTCAGGAGACTCAGACACCTGTGCTCATGAATCTTCATAAACAACATCATGCGGTGTCCTTTATAACCTACAGCAGCCGTGAAACAGACAGCAGGCTTAACATCAACAGTTTGGCATCTTTATATTCACGTATTTCCATAATTTTTCCGATTTAATCTTAAAACAAAACAACCAGTTGAGTGGGGCATCTCTTTCCTCCTTATTTTTAAAGAATAAAAGTGTGTTCAATGGCTCCCTTTCGTCCTACAAAATATCTATATGGCTCCGAAGGAAATAAAGTTGTTTTTATATGAATTTTTCAATTTTAAAACATTTACAACCAGTCATATCTCACGCCTTTGTGATTCTGTGACACCGTGGGCAAACTTGCATGAGCATGTACATAAATGTGATTTATAGCTCATATCTTTTCAGACAGAAAAAATCCCAACCATTTATTTATGCACACTTCTCTAATATGTAGCAGACAAACTGAGTCAGAAGTTGTATGCATAAAAAAATGTAAGGCACAAGTTTAGCAACCAAATTAAAAACTTTAAAAATACACACACATGCAAATAAACAAACACAGGTATGCACTATAAAAAGTCCTCACTCGCACAATATTTCAATCTGAAATGGATCGTAAATATTTCCTAACTGGAGTCAATAAACCTGTGCAAGCTATTAGACGGCCAGTTAGTTACACCCCTGTGTCATATTAGCCTGCGCCTGCAGTGTGAGAGGTGCGAGAACTGATAAAAACATGCTAATAAGACAGTGTCGGGGTGAGGGATGGTGGGGGAACCTATCAATGCCATGTAGGCAGGCAGCTCATTTGTATGGAGAGAAGCACAGCAATGCTGACGTCAATCTGCAGCGACATACAGCGTCAGCAGCAGCCCACCACACATGCACACGCTGATGATGAGGTCTAGGCTCCTGGCTGTCAAGACACCCAGTGAAAATAAGATGATCTACTGTACAGACAAAGAGAGACGGAGGGAAAGGACATCTTTATACATGTGATATTCACGAAGAAGAGCAAAGCAGAGGAGACGTCTGGAGACTATGTTTAGTTATGGAAGCAGTATAGCTCTGTGGCTGTATCACACTGCCAAAGTTTTCAAGAGAAAAAACACAAACACACCCTTTAAATGTGACATTTTAAAGATGCAAACACACAAAACAATTAAGATTTACCCTTCTGGAAACTGAAATATTTTTTAAAAAATTTAACTTTCTGTGTCTGCAGGGGAAGGGCAATATAGAACCAAACACAGATGATGTTTTTATTGCAATCATAATATAAGTGACAATAAAACCCATTATATAACTGAACACAGTGTTCTACTTCTTTACAGCACCAATTTGGTAGAGCACTTGTTATTAATGATTGCACTTAATTATATTTTAAGACAAAAATGCAGCATGATCCTTTCATTGTGGACAAATAGATAGTTTTAACTCCAAAGGTAGCAATTCTATTTCACCATCAATTTCTTGGATTTTCAAACACATCAAGTTTAAGTTCTCATCATGGCAACGTAAACTGCACAAATTATTTCCTCGTTATAATGCACAATGAAGTTTCCCCTAAGAGTTTGTTTTTCTAAAAGGCAAATGGGATGCACTTAAAAATTTGCTTGCTTGCAGTACATTTTCTAGCTGATATAACTGAGGACCAGGCTTGCCATTTTACATGTTGAAGAAAACCTCTCAGTTCCTCAGTGAAATCAGGCAGACAATCAAGAGGTCCAAAGTCTTGTAAAAATAGTTTGCAACAGCGATTCCTGGTATAGCAGCCATTCACAGATTAACAGGCCCACTTGGGTAATTACAAGGGAACAGGGCACTTGAGGCTATCTCAGTGTCTTCAGGGCAAACTGGCAAAAATATGGAAATATTCTTTAACTAAACAGTCTGCCCAAAATTCTATCCAACCACTGACTGGCTGTACCCCCAAAGAGAGGAGATAAGAAAGACTGTAAATGTTAGCTTCCATGACAAGTAGACAGCTACAGCTTCCACTGTGTGTGTTCAGGCATGATATGGTGTATATGATATTTGAACAATTAAAATAGGCAGTCATAAGCGTTTATAGAGGAGTTCTTAAGTATTCAAGGAGTTTATCTATTCACAAGTGCCGCTGGTCCCTAGCTCTTGTAAGTACTTGAGGTAAATAGCTACATATATATAGATATAAAGCTGCACAAATCCACAGTTGGTAGCACTGTTGCCTTTTCAAGCAAAAAAGCCCTTGGTTCAAATTCTACAAAGGGATCTTTCTGCATGGAGATTGCATGTTTTCCCCATGCACAGCTGAATCAAATGACTGAATTACCTTCTAAGTATTGTCTCAAGTTCTCCAGAGTACTGCTAATGACCTGATTATTTGACTTGTGTGCTGAAGCAGAGACACATCTAAATGAAGCAGGCCACTGGCTCTTGAGGATTGGAGTTGCATAGCCCAAGGTATGACTGTGTGTATGGGTCTTTGTCCTGTGTATCCCTTTTGTTGCCCTGTGATGGATTGTTGACCTGTCCGTGGGGTACCTTCCTGGTTACCCAATGACCACCGGAGACAGGCACCAGAACTCCTGTCGCCCCACAAAGATAAGTGGGTATAGGCAATGAATGAATATGTGGATGTAGATGTAAGAAAATGAATGTTTTTCACATCCAAAGACTCTAAAAGCAGCTGGTGCACAATGGTACACCAGCAGTTTAATGGAGAGATCACTATGTTCCAAAAGACCTCACCATGACCCTGTAAAGACCATTCACGCTCTG